CGGCGAGGAGAAGGATACATTCCACCTTGCCGGTTTTAAAAAGAGATTATTTTTGGAGAGAGAGTGTGATGCGATCGGTTAGGATAGGATGTGTTATTGCGTTAAAAGGAGTGCTCTTGTGCCGGAGTGAGTAGAAGGACATGTGAATGGTGTTGAAAAATCGGGCGAATGGGGACACTTCGGGCAAACGCATAAACACAAGAGACGTGTAAAATATGGACGAGTAAGCCGTCACACATCGCCAATGTGTATGGGCTCACTTAATCAGATGAGCGTTGCCCATAAAATTCCACGCCAGACGATTGAACGACGCATTATCTTCGGCAGAGAGTGAGCTAATCAGGGTCTCGCTTATCGGGAGGTGCTTCTTTTAGTGATTTAAGGGAGTCCTCGACGAGGAGTGGCGTGACAAACTGCCGAGCCGATTAACGGTTAACCCTCGTTCGTGGCAATGGGGGGTAGAACCGACGGGCAAATGTGTATGGACCCTCTTATGATTTTGCCATACAATTCCAACGCGATTATAATAGAATTATCTTCCGTGAGAGATTTAGCACAGCTGGTCTTCCCCATTAATGGGCTTGCCTACGTGCGTGATTTAGGGTCTCGCCGAAGAATGTTGACATAAATGGGCTATGGAACGGGTGCTTCGGGGAACCACCATACAAATTAGACGGGTAAAAGTATGACATATGGCTCATTATTATTATGACGTTCTCGTAGTGAAAATGTAGACATTCAAATCAGAGACGAGTGAGAGCTCGATATATGAGTGGCTAAGTAGGTGTCAGCTTCTAAGGAAGGGGACCAAAGTTTGACGGTGGGAAATACGAATGATGCCAAGCAGGGAGATGAATGTACAAGAACTGACGCGTTCATTTACAAATGGGCGAACTGTAAGGAACGCACTGACAAATACAGTGAATTGCAGCAGCGACCAAGCGCAGCCTTCAAAGCAATTCCTTCTTATAGTAATCTTCTACACAGGGCTCTATTGTGCTGACGCATCCCCGTCAAATTTCCCACCTGGCGATTGTAACGAGCGCATTTATTTCCGGGGAGAGTTAGTCAGTGGGTCCTTGCGCCACGGAGGCAGCTGCCTCGTCGTGATTTAGGAGTTTCGCCAGTGAAGGTGTTGACGCAGCCGGCGCCGGGCGAAGAGGGGGGGACGTAGGGGTGTAGCTGGGAGAGGGGGGCGGCGGTCGGCGTACGGGTTATTCCGTCCGCGGCTTGGCGACGCTCCCGCCAGACGTCGGCGCTAGGGGGGTAGCGCCGACGTCTGGCGGAGCGTCGCCAAGCCGCGGACGGGAATAACCCGACGCCGACGCCGCCCCCTTCCCAGCTACACCCCTACGTCCCCCCCTCTTCGCCGGCGCCGGCTGCGTCAACACCATTCACTGGCGAAGACTCCTAAATCACGACGGAGGCAGCTGCCTCGTGGCGCAAGGACCCCACTTGCTAACTCTCCCCGGAAGATAATGCGCGTCGTTACAATCGGCCGGTGGGATTTGACGGGGATGCCTCAGCCAATAAGAGGGCCCGTGTGTAGAGAGATTACTATAAGAAGGAATTGCTTTGAAGGCTGCTGCTTGGTCGCTGCTGGCAATGTCACTGTATTTTGTCAGTGCGTTCCTTTACAGTTCGCCCATTTGTAAATGAACGCGTCAGTATCTCTGGTAATGTCATCTCCCTGCTTGGCATTCATTTATTTCCCGACCTGTCAAACTGGTCCCTTCTTAGAGTAACTACTTCTAGGCCATATATGATGATTTCACTCGTCTGGTTTTGAATGTCTACGATTTTCACGTACGAGAACGTCATAATAAATAATGGAGCCCATATGTCATACTTTTACCCGTCCTAATTTGTACTGGTGGTTTCCCCGAAGGCACCGTCAGTTGCCCAGTTTTGTCAACATTCTTCGGCGAGGACTCCTAAATCACGACGTAGGCAGCCCATTAATGGGCGAAGACCGCGTGTGCTAACTCTCTCCGGAAGATAATTCCGTATTATAATCGGGGCGGTGGAATTTGATGGCAAATCCGATAAGAGGGTCCATACACATTTGGCGTACGGTTTTACCCGCCCGGATTTGCACGACGAGGGGGTTAACCGTAATCGGTCGGCCAGTTTTGTGCACGCCACTCCTCGGCGAGGGACTCCCTAAATCACTAAGGAAGCATCCTCCCGATAAGCGAGGACCCTGATAGCTCACTCTCTGCCGAAGATAATGCGTCGTTTCAATCGTCTGGTGGAATTTTATGGCAACGCTTCATCTGATAAGTGAGCCCATACACATTGGCGATGTGTGACGGCTTTACTCGTCCATATTTACACGTCTTGTGTTTATGCGTTGCCCGAAGGTGTCCCCATTCGCCCGATTTTGTCAACACCATTCACTGTCTTCTGACTCACTCCGGAAGCACGCCTTGTACGCACGAGTATTCCCGATGATCACACTCTCTCTCCAAAAAATAATCTCTTTTTAAAACGGGCGGTGGAATTTGACGGGGATGACTTAACAGATGAGTCCAATTTTTGTTAGGTCAGCGTGTGACTTTTTTTTTCCATTCAGATTTGGGCAGGGGGGTCTTATGTTTAATTGCACCTCAAAGACGCCCGTAAACGCTTGTTTTTTGGCCGCCTATATTTCCTGTATCTCGCGTTTAACGAAACAATTTTTTTTCCTTCACAGGTTTAAACAATGGGACATGTTTAGTCGCACACATGTTTTGAATACAATTGTCCACCCACCTACCCACCCACGGGTACAAACAAGTGTGCTAAAAAACACGTGAACTGTGCAAACCCGGAGAGAATGGTGAAACAGTAACACATCCGGAAGGTAAATATCTCCTAGGCAGTGTTCGAAACGTCCTGTTCCACGATTAGCTAATTTGGAGAGTCGCTGAAAAATAAACAAATACCTTCGTACACTTCAGGTGGACTACGGTAAACTAGCGCTTGCGAAGTGCTTACCTTAAATCGAATCGTAAAAGTACTTAGTAGGAAATTTAATAATAATAATTATTGGTGTTAATAGTTTTACTGCAAAACACTTTAAAGATAAATTATTATTAATTATTTTTAACCAAAATGTCTTACATTTAAACTTTGGGTCATTATTTTCTCCCCAAAAGAGTTTAATCCGACTAGAAATAAATTAAAATTTCTTATATTCATAGCAAAATGAATAGCGATCGAAGAAACCGTGGGAAACACTTGACTTGTAAGAAAAGAGCAGGAATATTGGGTGCAGAAATGGCGAAATAATGTGGAATGTCAATCGATTATAGCTATTTCAAAAGAATGTAGTTTTTTTTCGCATTTCTAAGAAAAATATTCAAATTTAATAACACATATACAGTAATTAATAACCCAGAAAATACAGTTTAATAATTTCCAAAATATTACATCAGTCCATGAGCCAGGACTCTACCCAAATAATTGGAAAATCCTTTCGTCATAGTGGCAGATCCAATGGTAGAATTCATGAGACATAGCTATGTAGTTTGTAACGCAGGGGAAAATAATTATATAGATTGAAATTTAGAAACCCAAAAAACTATTAATGTCGATATATCTTTTTCAAAAATACGCGAACTATTTTTCATTTTTTGAAAACTATATTTTTTTCACTTTAATTTTTGGGTACCTTTATTATCGTTAAAATGTATTTAGTTAAAAGAAATATTTTTTTTCCAATATACAAACGCTCCCAAAACAAGCTGCTAAAACCGGTGTGCCAAGTTCCATCAATGAATGTCACATGTTCTCAATCATTTATGATCCAGAGAGCCATGTACATGATCAAAGAACAGAATAATAAAAATCTGATCTAGAACGATAGTTAGTGTTCATTATATAATTGATTTGTTTTCTAACCCGATATATTTCTTAGAGAATGATATTTCCTGTTTTGTAGCTATGTTAATGAACAAATGACAACCTTTCCATTTCTCGAAATCAGTAGACAAGTACCTTCTTCAAAATTCTAATTCGAGGTTGAGATAAGGTTTGATTTCTTCTGTATAATTCCAACATTTTTCCAAGATTGAATTGATCAAGATTAGAAGCTGAGAAAAATACCAATAATAAATTGAACTGTTGGATTTCGAAATTGAAAAAAATGCATTAATACATTTTCATTGCTGAATTAGTTTCAGTTTCATACAACTCTAATTGAAACAAGTTTGACAATGTCTTTAAATTTAATTGCAACATCTCAAAACTAACACCATCTGTGTCAAAGGAAAAAATCATATTACTTATAGTTCACAAAACACATAAATTAATCTCCTTTTTGAATCGAACATCATATAGCATTAAAAAGAAGAACACACTTCAACCACATGAAAAAGGACATTCATAAGAAATACATTTTGGTGTAGGTCCTGATAGGCAATGTATGTGTATGTACATATACTATGTAATGTACATATGTGTGTTTGTATATGTGTGTTCATACATGCAATGTTCTTATGCAAATATACTCATGTACACACAGGAAAATAAACTGGTAGAGAGTAGTCAGGACAAACAAGTAATAGCAATAAAAAATGGCATGAAAATAAAATTTTAGTTCATCTAAACTCTCATTTGAATCCACTGTCTTGTGGACCCTTGTTAAACTTACCATCAAATAGTGCATCCTTTGACAAGAACCAATCATCTCAATGTCCAAATCACCAAACTCCAAACCACAGACACTACTGTAGGCACCTCGCGTTTCATTCTCATGTAATGTTCCGATAGTAATCAAAGTTTGCAACACATTACTCTTGAGTATGAACTATTTTATGTTAAGCATCCCATTTTCTTTTATAATTTTCACACCGGTTGTTTACTTCCGTTGTTCTCGCACTCTTAAGATTCTCACGACTGCCTTGTCTCGCGGAAATCGGAATGCATCATACACCATGGAACTTACATTTTCTCTTGGACGCTCCTTGGCTTTTGTCTTGAAAGATGCTGCTACCGCAAAGATTCCCAAAATTCTGGTGGTTGATTTGTGCATCCCATACGTGTGAAGATATATCTTTACACACCAATCAATGAAAAATAGTTTGAAATATTTTATCTTTCGACTCGACGGCAAGAGCAAGACTGAAGTGAAAATGGGATATAGAGTTTTTCAGCTAATATTATGCAAAATATGCTGCCATTTTCACTCGCAAAAGAATTGTATGGCAATGTATTTACTTGTGGGAAGATTTTTAATTATGATTTATATCTCCTATATGATTTTTGGTATGGTTTCTACATTTATTGGAAATGTTTTGAACATATTTGCACAATTTATAACAAAAAAATAAAATAGATAAACAAAATAACGAAGGAATGTTTTATCACTTTACCATATCATGACAGTCCTTAAGATTTACGTTTTACCAACTTATATGATGATACGCAATCTCCTCTCTAAGTCTTTTACTTTGTACCACGCAGAAAAATCTCTCTGAGGCCATTTACTTGCCACACATTTCTCCATTGCTTCATTTAGTTACTAAACATATACAATGAACTGTATGTAAAATGAAAAGCGCTGTGGTTAAACGAAATTACTTCTCTGCAGTTGAACGTATAGATAATGTTTTCTTTTTTCATCTAATGCAGCGTTTAATTACTCATGTATATAATTTCTATACGTTCTGCCACAATATTACAATTTTATTCCGTAGTGGTGAGGCATTCGTATTGAAAAAAAAGTCAGTGTCCATTTTTTTCGATTACCAATTACTATCAGTACACAAAATAATAATCAATATATAATAACCTCACGATTTATATTAAAAAAATATGTTGAATTGATGTAGAATACTGAGCCATGTCTAAAACCACAAAGTTTAATTGGAACGAAAAAAAGTCACCAGAACTGACCACAGAGTCGAAATAATATCATTAATCTGATTATATGTCTCGAGTAAAAGGCGCTCCCAAATTTCCCAACGTATTGTTGAGGCAATAGAAGTCATGGAATGTATACGATGTTACAACGTTAATGTTCACCCCACACGACGGTTCGTGTTATCAAATCTTGAGTTATAGAGGTTTTACGAATTATTAGTATTGTCTTTGATGGTAGTATGATTGTTGCTAGTACAGAAATATTCGTTTAAGAAGGGAATGCTTTTCCAGTTAATGTTCGGCTACTGCAGATTTTGTCCAAGCATCCAATTCGTCAATGTATTCATTTGCAGTTCACTGACTTGCAATTTGGTTCAGACGTCCTACTTTATAGATGATTTAATATTATAACTTCGATATTATGAGTCGAAGCGAGGCGTGTAGTTAAAAAGATATCCATTGATCGCACTTGAAGCAAGGTTCTCTGGGATCGGCTTAGAGCCCATCTCGTTGATTAACTTTGGAAAACCAACGCCCTCACATGCCAGAATGTCCACAAAACATGTCCCATTCCAAGCACTGTTGCAAATACTCCCGATACTATAAGAAGGAAGAATAGAAATTTTAGCGAAATCAGTCTAGTAGTTTTGTATCTATATGCGACAGACATACGCACATTACCTTGAATTGACATATGATAATGATATTTAATATGATGATTTTAATGATATATGATAATATAATGATGGTACTGATGATCATGATAACGACTGTTAGTGCAATGTGCATCCTTAGAGTAACTTCTCTAAATTATTTTGATGACCGATATTACAAAGTTCATCTTTGGAGTAACTTGTCTACAGCAAATTGATGACTGTTATTGCAATGTGCATTCTAAGAGTAACTTTCTCTAAATTATTATGATGACTGATATTACAATGTTCATCTTTAGAATAAGTTCTCCACAGCAATATGACAACTGCTGTTGCTCCTTAGAGTAACTTCTCTAAATTATTATGATGATGACTGATATTACAATGTTCGCCTTTAGAGTAACGTCTGCCTAGCGATATGACGATAATTGTACCGCGCGTGTGGTTGGGTGTTTGCAGACTGCGAGTCGCTGATCCGCAAGATGCTGGTGCTGGACCCGGCGCGGCGCTACTCGGTGGAGCAGATCAAGCGCCACCGGTGGATGCTGGCGGAGGCGCCGCGCCTGCTGCCGTCGGCGCCGGCGCCCCAGGACGCGCATGCCCACGCCCACGCCGAGCCGTGCGCGCAGGAGCCCAACGAGCAGATCCTGCGCCTCATGCAGAGCCTGGGCATCGACGCCGTCAAGACGCGTGAGGTAACGCACACCGCACGCACACACACACACACACACACACACACACACACTCACACACACGCTCCAATTTAAACATAGTGGCCCAGTCATTGTGGCAAATCATTATCTGAACGGAGGGCCTCATGCAGAGCCTGGGCATCGACGCCGTCAAGACGCGTGAGGTACTACCGCACACACACACACACACTCACACACACACACACTCACACACACACACTTAGACACGCACGTATACGCACTTGAAGATCATGATCTGATTGGAGAGTTTCACACAGAGCGTGGGCATCGACGCCGTGAAGACGCGAGAGATACTAACACACACACACACACACACACATATACACACACATACGCGCATGCACACACGCTCCGATTTAAACATAGTGGCACTTGAAGACCATGATCTGAAGGGAGAACCTCAATGCAGAGTGGGCATCGACACCGTCAAGACGCCAGAGGTACTACCGCACACACTTACACACTCGCACGCACGTATACACACATACCCCGATTTAAACACATACTTGGGTTTTTATTTCTTGGAGCGCGGGATCTTGTCTTCACGACGGAATATCTCTCGGTCGTGCGGCTAGATGTCGCATGATCGCCAGTACTGCTCCGTACGGTCGCGACTTTTTAAAAGGACACAATCTTTTTATTTTATATTATAATATTAATTGTATTCTATTGCAAATTAATTTCATCCATAGACATAGAGTTGTAATGTAAACATCCGACATTAATGGGTTAATGAGCTTGGTCATTCTTAGGGCCTCCGAAAACCGTAATGAATCTTGTCCACAGTCCCTGCGTGCGGGCAGCTACGACCACCACGCCGCCATCTACTTCCTGCTGCTGGAGCGTCTTCGCCAGCACCGGAGCAGCTTCCCTCCCCTCACCTCCTCCTCCTCCACGGCCACCTCCTCCACCTCCCCGCACGACCCTTCGACGTCCCCGTCCGCCTCCGCCGCGTCCAGCGCCGCCGCCGCCGCGGCCGTCGCCGCCGCCAAGCACTCGCTCGACTCGATGCAGCGCCGCCGGCCCTCCTCCATCGCCGAGCAGGCCATGAGGAAGCTGGGCCTGGGGGGCGGGGGCGGGAGCGGCGGCGGCGGCGGGGCGAGCGGGGCGGCGCAGGGCGGCGCGGGGGCGGCGGCGGCGGCCGTGGCGGCGGCCGAGGCTGCCAGAAGGGCCAGCTACGCCACGCAGGAGCTGCTGCTCAGGGAACAGCAGGTGAGTGGTCGAGCCGCTTGTTTTCCACTTCCGAGTTCTAGGCTTTAAATTCCGGTCGATCTAAGTGGGATTTGTGTTGGACAAAGTTCTCAACAAATATGAAAAGTTAAGTGATCACGGGTTTGACTCTAACGTTCAAAGCGGTTTACGACAACATACTCGTAACTAGTGGCCTAACGTGTCTGTGGATTTTATAAAACTGAAATTTTTGTATCACATTGTTCCAGAAAAAATAAATGGCGATCTTCGTCCATTGAATAGCATCTGCTACCAAACGGCTGATCGTATAATTTCAGAGATAAAGACTTATAATTTTTTTTTTCTATTTACCGTAAATCTCGATTTTCAATTATTTTGTTTCGTGTGTTGCGTTCTTTGTGTTTTGAGTTACAATCGACGTTACGTTCTGAGTTGAAATCAAAACGCCACTGACGCGGCGTTTCGTTCTTTTTTGCCAGCAGCAGCAACAGCAAGAGTTCCTCCGCCGCACGCCGCCTTCCACGTCGACGGTGACGTCGTCAGCCAGCGACTCGGTGTCCCAGCAGCAGCAGCAGCGGTTGCTCCAGCAGCAACCGTCGCCCTTCCGGGAGTTCCTCCAGCAGCAACAGCAACAGCAGCAGCAGCAACAGCAGCAGCAGGCAGCGGCGGCGGCGGCGGCCGCGGCGGCGGCGGTGTCGCACGCGCTGGACGGCCCCACGTTGGGCGCCAATGCTGCGTCGGGCGACCTGCCAACGGCCGGCGCGCTCTTTCGCTCCGCCGGCGATGGACGCTACGCGCTCACGCAAAGGTCGGTGCACTCACATCTGCCGCTATTTCTCTCTCATCGGATGAGTTTAGCTCATTGACGCTGTCCCCGCAGAGACTCGCCGGGAAGACCCACAGAAATGTGCAATTCATTGGACTAAAGACGTAGAGTTTGAATTTATGAATTTATTTTCACACTCTATGATCTTTGGTTTCTCTATGAACATTCATTTTTGTTTATTTATGAGCATTCTGAACCTCCCTGGCCCTTTTTCTTATCTGTGCCATATACTGCGTCTTGATGCCTGGATCATTTAGCCACATTTTCTCCAATTTTACCACGTGTGGTTTTCTTATTTTTTAGCTTTCTTTTAACTATAAACCCAAATATTTTCAATGGGGTTCGTATCTGGAATGATAACTGGCCAATGCAGCACAGAGTGTTCAATTGTTCAGTGGCGGTAACTGAGACACTGTCCACACTGTGGAGTAAATAATTTAAGTAACGGTTGTACCAAAATCAGTTGTACATGAAACACAAACATAAAAGTAGCAGACGTCACTATGTATAGTTTTGAAAGCAATAGGAGTGTTGTCAACGTTATTTATAATTTCTACGACGAGTTCAACTGAATTTACCGAAAAAAATCTTTAGTCTAATAATTTGCACACTTCTGTAGGTTTCCATTCCCGGATTTTTGACACTAGCAGGGTTGCCACTTTCAGGAAAACATGGATAATTGGAAAAGTTAAGAAATGTTATTGCTATGGAAAGGGAGAAATCTTGGTTTTTGTAGCAGAATCGTTAAAAGAGAGGGGAAGTTTTAAGTGGGTTATAAAACTAGATTTAATCCTTAAAAACTAGTATCGCGTAAGTTATTACTCAATGCTTATTTGTACTTTGTCACAGCAAAATAAGAGAGCTGATCAAAGCACATCGGAGTAACTTTAATATTGTCTTTAAGTAGTGAGAAATTATAAATCTTATCAGGAAAAAATTAATGATGCACTAAAAAAGTGTAGCCGCGTTTGCCCCGCCCACTTCAGTGCGAACCAATCACCGGTTGATTTACATTGCCCTCGCCTCCCGACTTAACCACAGGCATGTACAGCTAAGCGCTGTTTTAGACGAAGATTCATGCCGACGCAAATCGTGAATCGTGAATCGTGAATCGTGATTCGTACCCTCGTGGCCAGGAGCGTACGAGGCTTTAGTAACTTCTCCTAAATCGACATGTAGCATTCAGGAATGTCAACACTTATATGATTCATTTAGGATGTCTCCGTGTGCATTGAAGAAATAAAATTCCCAAATTAGTGCAAAAGGTGGAAATGTGAGTTACCAGAAATGTTGATAGTAGAAAATGAAACATAGGGCATTAAAAGGATTAACTTCCCCCAAGTACATTTTTCGAACACGAAGAAAATACATTATCTTTAAAAAACGTTATTCGTGTAAAGAAACTAACCTTGAGCCTAACACATCGGATGTAACGATGAATCATACGCTCCATGCGTAGTTACTTCCCAGGCCGAAGCTATTGCGAAACTTTGGATAACCCTTAATATTTTATTTTGTTGGAAATGTAAATGAGGCTTCTTAAGTACTAATATGTTGCTAAAATAGCTGTCGCCTGGCAGATTTAACTATTCTCGTGAGCTAATATGGCAGTTTATTACATTTTTTAATACTTTTGTTATTAACCTCTGCGAAGGGCGAATTTGCAGAACGGGGAAAACATTTTTAAGTGTTATTTGTATAAAAAACCGGAATATATATATATATATATATATATATATATATATATATATATATATATATATGTGTGTGTGTGTGTGTGTGTGTTATATATATATATATGTGTGTGTGTGTGTGTGTGTGTGTTATTAATGTACATAAACTAAACGAACTAAACGAAACAGACGCTCCGGGCCTAGTTACCAGGCCCCAGGCCGCAGCCGGTTGCGTAAACGCACTCTGGCTGCCCCGCACGCGAGACAAAAGCCGTGAGAAGGGCGCCCGAGGGGCCGGCCGGCCGGCGCGGTTCATTTGTGCTGGCGCGGCGAGCGGGCGACTGGCCGGTGGGGCGGACGAGACGGACGTCAAGCGATCGGCAGGCGGGCGGACGGGCGGGCGGGCTACGAGGGGGCCTTGACGTCAGCGGGTTCAACGAGGGGTAACGACTGGGAGCTCTAGCCCCGCGTCGTTCTGGGCGCCCAGCACTCGCGAGGAAAAGTCACATCGACAGCGGATTAAAAGAAAAATAAAAATTAATGGGTACGGCAGATTTTATGGATTTCGAATGTAAATGAGAAAAAACATCGAGTTTCTCATTATTTCGACTTTTCTACAACGGATTAAAATAAAAAAATAAAGAAAAAATATAAATAGGTACTGCGGAATTTATGCATTTTGAACGTGAATGAGAAAAAAATCGAGTTTTCGAATATTTAGACTTTTCGTCCACGGATTAAAAGAAAAAAAAGAAGAAAATGGATGCAGAAAAATGTGTGGATTTCGATTGTGAATGGAAAAAAATCGAGTTCCGAATATTTTGAGTTTTCAACTTATAAGATTCAAACCTTGATGTGTGGGAATGATGAAGGGGGGGGGGATAAAATTTCACATTTCAATAATCATGCGGGGAAAAGGCAGATCGACGATGGATTAAGAAAAAAAAGTACTGCTCAATTTACGGATTTTTAATGTAAATGAGAAAAAAATGAGTTTTCAAATATTTTGACTTATTGAACTTGTTAAACTTATTGAAATACACAACCTCGATGTGAGGAGATGAAGGGGATTGTAGATAAAATTTGACACTTCAATATTCAAGCAAGGAATAGATTGACGACAGATTTGAAAGAAATGTTTATCGTTAAACTTTTTCTCTCCAAATTCCAATATAAATGAGAAAAACCAAACTGGATTTCCGAATATTTCGACTTATTGTGATGAAAGTGCAGGAATGATGAAGATAAGTTTAGCTAAAATGTGATATAGGGACCATTCATAAATATATTCGTTTTTAGAACAGGAGGGTTCCCACAATGTAACAAAAGTAACCGATGAGGGAGAAGGTGTTGACGATAAATGAACATGCTTGTCCATTTTTGTTTTAAGTATTATAACTTCAATATATAAACTTATATTAAAATTAATAAAAAGTGTATATCGCATTAAAAATATATGCAAGCTCAATTTTTACGTTGTATTTTCAATTTAGGAAAGGATTCTGATTGGATAGTTCATATCAGGTGGGGTAGAAAAAGCAAATTTTGAGAACATATTTTATGAATTGCTTCATATCAATATTCGGGTTATCGACGTTCCCCTGTGTAGGCTAATGTCCGATAAGAGTTATCGAAATTATCATAACATCTCTATCAAGAATGTGAAGTAAAAATAAAAAATCAGGGTTGATCAATATGTCGATGTTACAATATTCGAAAAATACTGTGGATTGAGTGAGGGGAGTGATTATTTCGTATTTTGGGACGCGTCATCAGTGATATATTAAAAAAAAGGAATGAAGTAAGAAATTTTACGAAAGATTTACGTAAAATGTTACGTAATCTTACGTAAATTTATTTATTTAGAATAAAAGTGGCGCATCTGCTAGGAGGTAGTCAACGATGAGTTGAGAAATAAAGAGGATGATCTATAAATATTATAGGATATACTACATACAAACGTGTTTAAAACAATCGTTCATACTGCATGTAAATAACATGTTTATGGCATCTACAATGCCACTGAGCATTTGGGCAAGTTCTATTTTATTTCTAATTAAATCTATAGTACGTGTTAACACTGCACCTCACTTCACACTAAGATGTAATTCGAATCTTAAGAGCAAATGCTGAATGGCCCCTTGTTCAATTTCTTCTTTTCTTCTCGACATAAATGAACAGAGCATGTTTTCTTGAGCTTGGTATGGAATGTAGTTATTGTAGAATATTGTCCAATTTAAATGTAATGACTTGTGATATCAGCTGGACGCGGTTATCCAATCGGGAGTTTCGATCCCTGAATTTAACTTTTGTTTTTCAACGGCATTTTATAGAAAATAAGGGTGTGTCCGAAATAACCTGAGCTTCGAACCGAGCGTGTTCGCATTAAAAATAGTATGTTGTTAATGTCCGATTTAAATGTAGTGACTTGTGATATCAACTGGACACGATTTTCCAATCGGGAGCTTCGTTACGACTTTCATTTTAGGTATCGAAACTCCAGAATGGTTAACCGCGTCCAGCTGATATCACACGCCATTATATTTAAATCGGACAATATTCTACAATAACTACATTCCCCATTAAGCTCGAGAAAACATGCTCAGTTCGTGAAGCTACATTTATGTTGAGACGAAGAACAAGAGGCCTTCTCAGTATTTGCTCGAAGGATCGAATTACGTCATAGTGTGCAGTGATGTGAGGTGCAGTGTGTAACGCGTACTTAAGTTTTAATTGGAAATAAAACAGAACGTTCCAATATATAAAAGGCATTATATACGACAATTCCACTCGTAAAATTTAAACCAATAGTGTTTCACTGTACATATAAAATGCCCCAATCAGGGCGTGTATCTCAAAAAATTGATCGCTTTTTCTCTACGATTTCTCTTTCCACCCCTCCCTCCTGGCCAATAATGAGTTGTGACTTATCTTAGAAGGCGGTATGGGTCGATCGCTATGTTGATGTGCAATAAAAAGCGTATGTACTGTAGCATAACTGAAAACACGTTAAAATCAAAGAAGTTATTATCAATATTTGGCGCATTTTATAATTGTGTTTGATGTAATTTTATTCGTAGAATAGTCCTATTAAATACCACTCGTGCTCTGGAAATTCTCAGATAAATCCCATACTCGCTTGGCGAGTCGGGGATTTATCGCCAATTTCGAAAGCACTCGTGGCATTTACCTGTCATAAACCAGGGGCGTATCCAGCCGATCAATTTGAAAGGGGCCATCATAGACTTTTGTTAAAAAAATTAACGTATTCGTTATTATATTGTATATTATTTTTGTTGTGTGTATATGATAGTGTACAATATTATTTTTAAATAATTACATAATTGTATCATAAATAAATATTTAAATCAATTTTAAGTCAGATAAAGGTGAGTAACTAACAAAAACTCTAGGCCCCGGATCCGCCTCTGTGATAAGAACGTGTCATTTACATAAACGCGAGGTTCTTTCAGGACTGGCGATTCCACTGTATGTGTGTGTGTGTGGGCGCGCAGGTACAGCAGCCCGGTGGTGCTGGGCGTGTCACTGTCGGCGGGTGTGGTGCCGTCGTCCATCTTCCCTCGCGGCGACTCGGTCCCCGCCGCCGCCGCCGCCACCTCCTCCTCGTCGGCAACGTCGAGCGCGGCGTCCGTCTCCAGCACGGTCGTCGCCGCCCACCCGGCGCCGCCCCCTTCTGGCGGCCACCCGCCTCACCCGGTCACCGCGCAGTTCAGCGGCTCGACGGACGAGGGCGTGGAGACGGACATGGAGGAAGCGGGCGGCGGGGGCGGCGGCGGCGCCGGCTCCTCGGCGTCTGCCCAGCACCAGCGCCTCTCCTCGTACGCGTCCTCCTCCTCGTCGAGCGGCGTGGGCGGGGTGGGCGTCAACAACAAGTCGCTGAGCCAGCACCTCAGCTCGGACTCGTGCTCGTCCAGCCACGTCTCCTCGCTGCACTCCACCTTCTCCACGTTCGAAGGCGGCAGTCTCGACTACCAGCTCGACTCGGACCTGGCGTCCAGCCTGCCGTCGTGCACGTACCCCGGCGCGACGGCGGACAAGGCGTCGCTGGCCGACAACGTCGTCATCAGCACCTCCGCCATACACCCGTGCCTCTACGTCAGCTCCAACAGCAAGCTGCCGTGCAGGTTGGTGCCTCTGCGCTCCTAGGGCGGGGGGGAGAAGTGTGGGGGCGGAGGAATCCCTTTGGACGCGACTGGGATGGTGCCTCTGCGCTCCTAGGGGGGAGAGATGATGTGTGGGGGCGGAGGAATCCCTTTGGACGCGACTGGGATGGTGCCTCTGCGCTCCTAGGGGGGAGAAATGATGTGTGGGGGCGGAGGAATCCCTTTGGACGCAACTGGGTTGGTGCCTCTGCGCTCCTAGGGGGGAGATGATGTGTGGGGGGCGGAGGAATCCCTTTGGATGCAACTGGGATGGTGCCTCTGCGCTCCCAGTGGGAGAGTGAAAGTTCGAGAGCGGAGGATTCCCTCTGGATGCACCACCGGGAGGGTGGTGCCTCTTAGCATATTTGGGCAATAGCGTCTGGCTGAGTGCAAGAGTTCACTGTGCAGGCCTCTGCGCTTCTAGGGGGGAAGAGGCGAAGTGTCGGGGCGGGGGATTCCCCCTGGACTCAACCCGAGAGGATGGTGCCTCTTGAAGACAATTGGGGGAACATCCTCTAGCTGGGTGCAAGTGGGGGAATTTTCTGTGGACACTTTTGATTGCGCTTACCTTGCGTTCATTGTCTCTGCTTCTAGGAGTCGTAGAGATAAGGGAATTGTGGTTTTGAGTGACAGCAGAGGGGTTTCACTGCGTAGATTCCGTTGGCTGGGTTCTGTTGGATGGTGCCACTGCTCTCCTAGGGGGGAGAAACGCAGTGTAGAGGCGGAGGATTCCCTCTGTATGCAATCGGGAGGATGGTGTCTACTTGCTCGAAGGGAGTTTGGCTGTGAGCAAGTTGGGGAATTTTCTGTGAACGCTTTTGATTAAGCTTGCCCTGCATTCTTTGGCTCTTCTCCTAGGGGTCTTAGAGAAAGGTATTGGGGTTTTTGAGTGACAATTGATAAGATTCACTGTAGTTGCCAATGTTTGGGTTTTGTTGAATGATGCCTCTTGGAATGGCAAATGACTATTTGAGAAAATATATTAAATGTAAGGGTGTGAATGGGAGAATGTTACACTCCTAGGGTAAAAACTGATTTGGGAAGAGCATGCGGGAGGATTCATTCTGTAGGGTACCCATCTATGCCTTTCCAATCCTACACAGACAGAACAGGTTGGGGGAAGTGAGATGAGAATGGAATGTTTAACTCTTGACAGCAGGGTCTGCTCTGTAATGTACAATATGTGAGGGAATTCTCTCACGAACACTATCAAATACCTGCCTTGCAGACTTGTGTCTCTGTGACAGGAGGAGTTCGATCAGTTTGGGGAACAGTATCTTTGCTTAAGGAAAGTGGCACATCTCAGAAATCATCGTTTTCTAGTGAAGTAAAGTAATAAGTTTTGAAAATGGAACATTTTTAATAGTATGAACATCATGTAATCACAAGACAGACGATATAGAGTAAAACGTTTTTTAACATCAAAATAAATGGATCCAACCAGGTTACAACCATTCTGCAAAATGACAATTTCTGTGATGTGTCACTTTTTTGGTGCATGCCAATGTGTCAAATTGCTGGTGGGATACTTCTCTCAGGACACTTCTGGCTGAGCCTGCCTCCCAAGTTGGTGGCTTCTGCACTTCTAAGGACATGCACGTCCATGACATTTGTACCAGTCAGAATACTTGCAACATCTTGTGTTGGTTCCTTTCAGACATTTTTGAATGAAGTAAAAAATTTGTGAATGCTCCAGGAAGTATACAATAAGCAGAATTCATCCTTGTAACTACGTGATGAATGAATGTGCTTTGTAGGTTGGTGTATCTGTGATCATAGAAAATAGTCCGTACCTTTCCCTGTACATAATTTGTTGCGATGAAAGAGAGTCTTTGGGCAAACAACACTTGGTGCCTTCTAGATTTGAATGGTGCCAGATACAATTTTGTTCTTGTTCCTTGAGGTTCTGAATGATGCTAAGGCGATGGATAGAACTGCTTTAGATTTAAGAAATTCTTCTAAGGAAAATTATGCTGGAGAAATGGTCTTACTTGTCCTGACATTCACACTTTAGCGAGTGTGCTGTGCACTTCATTCAAGTTAAATCAGCCAATTTTTCAAATCCCAAACTGTTCCTTTGTTGAAGTGATACTCTGATGAGCTACTATTGTTACATAACAAAACCATTGTAATGTTCCTATTATTGTCTTAAATGACTTACTTTCAATTCAAATGAGGTCTTTTGTTTAAATGGGGCGAATTACCAAACAAGACGCAGCCAAAATGTCAAATTGGCTAAATTAGAGTGACATACGATTTTTTTCAGGATTTGCAGCCCCAATAAACTAGTGATTCAATTTTCTTCGTGGGGTTCTTCCGTCCATTCATGTGAATCATGAAAATCTTCCACCCCATGCTCAATTGATTTATTTGCATTTTCATAATAATTAACATATTACAATTATGAGCATACACAGGTAGTCAAACTTAAAATAATCTAATTTATGCTGTGCAGTAATATCTAAAAACTGTTTCAATTAAATGAGAAACTTAAGTTTTGTTATGAAAAAGACCTACGAGCTTTTGCATCCCCATACTGGCATTTATGTAGTTTTCTGTATAGCATGTAATTTTCTGGGCAATGCATCACTTTAAATACAATTCTTATTGCGAAAAAAACAAAAAAACAATCAGTATCTTCACACTTCATTTTTAAATTTTCTTGACATGCTTGTCTTCCAAGTTTACAATCTTCTTAGAAACATGAAAAAAATGAAACACTTTTATAAACAAATAATATTGCTGAGGTTGTTTACTGAGTGAGTGTGGTTTTAATTAAAGAGATTACATTCTTATAACCAACAAAGTAATTTCTTGAATTGTGTGATATATCTAACCTTGAAGTTTTGGCTTAATTTCTGTTTAAAAAGAAATGCATTTGAATTTAACAATATCCTACATAACATATCCATAGAGAACTCTCTCCCATGTTAATGAGTTATAAACTACATTAACATATATAAATAAACATTATCATTTCACTAAAGATAACTTTATTTTAGAAAAACAAAGCAGGTACCTTTTGCAGATTGTATCACTTGAAGTTTTAGTACTATAGATGTATGTTTCTGCTGTTGTTATGAAATTGATCTGCATTTTGATGTTAGTTTTCTGTAATTTTTGTAGAGAATGTTATGATTCAGTTTTTGGAACAAGTCATTATTTATTATATCCTTTCATGTGAAATGTGGCTATACGCCAATTTAAAATTACAGTTGTTAGAAAGATGTCAATTGTATCCTTTTGTCACACCTGTTAAGATTCTCTGCTTAGCATGCTAGTTTTTATCTTCTTGTAGTGTTTTTAATTTGTATTTCACATCATTCTCTTGTCATATTAAACGCATCCCTGTATATTTTTTGTAGAGTAAAGCTTTGATTGCTACTTCAAACCTAAATTCATATTTAATTTTGTTATGCATGTCCACTCTTATTTCTTTGTATTGTTGCTAAGCTATGAATTTCTGTCATTGTTGTTCATGAAATGTTCTGCTTGAAATTTCAAAAGAGTGACTTCTGCGTGTTGATGATGCTTGTTTTGTCACTGATTGATTGCTATATTTTGCACATTAAATGTTTTCAATGAGCACTTATTTTTGCCTTTTATATTATTCTTTGCATTCCATGCACCAGAGTTTATCATATTCTTACCCCAACTTATTCCTTTCATGTTAATGTCCCCATTAAATTTCCTTCATTTCTGCGTATATTTCACATCCTTTTTTTAAGCTTCTGCACCTAATTTCCACATTATCAAATTGTTTTATTCATTTTTGTAAGTCTTTATAAAATTTTCCACATCTATTAGATTTTTATTTGCATTTATAGCCAGCAAGTAGGGGCAAGTAGAGGCAAGAAACGTAATGTTTTGGAAATATTAGCATTTGAAAGAAACTAGGCACAGTTAAATAAAATTAGATTCAGTGTTGGACGATCACATTAATTTCATTCAAAATATTTACATTTCTAAATATTAAAAGTCAAAAGTAAATTGCAAACTGAATTCAGTTATCCTGTGAAAACATTTTTATAGCTAAAAATCTTATAAAAATTTTCTTAGTTTTCTTAAAAAATCATTCATAAACTTGTAGACTGTATCTTATCATTTTTCTTTCAAAAAACAATTTTGATCATATTTCTTTGTGTCTATATAAAAATAGTGTTTCAGTTTACCGAACATGAACTTATATTGCACATTACACTCACCTCTAGATTTTGTTAGACATATTCTATTTATAGCTATGCAAATTTAGAATGGCCAGTTATTTAGTAGCATCCTGTTGATTACATTAGTTATTTCTCAGAATTTCAGTTTTCACTTTCCAAATTCACACTTTATGCCTGAGAATGCTTTTTGATTAAAATGTGATTTTCAAATGCTTGACATCTACTATAGGATCTAGATAATAAGATGTTTGCAATTCCTTTAATACATTCGAATTTTATTTCTCAACAAATTAATTTATTATTTAGATTTGTTCTTTGAATTCAAGCACTGATTGCATATTTGGAGGTGAGAATTTTTGTAAAAATTTGTTTCACGATACAAAATCACTTTTGGTTAAAATGATTTGATTATTTAGAAACTTGGTTTACTTGTAACATTTAAAGTGATTGTACGAAAATTTAGTACCATGTGATTTTCCTAAAACATTTATTACTAATTTCTTCATGTATTCATGCATCGATTACATTTAAAATTTTGTAGCTTTCA